TAGCAGAATACAATACTAGTATTGTGTTATATATATAATTACTATATATATTATTAGTTATATTACATGTAATATCAAATATATAATTATAATATGATTATATTGTAGTATTATTATTAGTATTATAACTTTACAAATAACACTGGAAAAGTTCGCAGAACTAACACAACAACTACGATCTATTCTACTCCCATAACTGTATAAATATGCTTCACACCTAAGGCTTTAATGATGCTCAGTACAGCATATAAAGAAATGGTTTTATGCCCATGAAAGGTTATACAAAAATAAAACCCTCTTATAGGTGCTGCCACATTTTTCCACCTTCTTCCTTCCTTCATTTTTATGCCACAAGAAACTAATATGGCTACTCCTATGAAAACTAAAATCTGATTTACTCAGCCAATTATCTCCAGTACTAAACATCCACAGTTTGACTTTGGAATGTGCCCACATCACATATCCAAAATGATGTGTGGAAAAGGTTAATATGAGTAAGGCTGTTCACACAAGACAACTCATAGTAGTTCCCATGGCCACAGAAATTCTTCTGGTTGTGGTTTTTCTGTTCCCCTGGCTATGCAAATAGATGCAACCATATCCATGTACAACTATTTCATAAGAGGTGTGTTTCAAGAATGGGAAATAGTTACCTATATATGGAGAAATATGACTTTGTGAACCGATCCAAAAACAATGGCCAGAAAGCTGTACTGAAATAAATGTGGATCACCTTCTCAAACATGTTGAGATATCAGATGCAAACTTTCTCCTTCCACAAAGACACAGTGAACCACTTTCTTCAACAAGAGAGAAAAAGCATGAACTCTGTGATGAGAAGCAAATGTTCACAGATAAGCTGACAGTTTAATAAGGTAATTGCAAGTTCTAATGAGGTCATTAACCTGCATGAATATGTTCCCTCCAGTGGCCCCCCTGCTTTCCATTAAACTTTTTACTGGAAATCAAACACACATGTATTTTTATTAGTATTATAATCATTTACGGAACTACCGCCAAGACTCCAACCTTGGAAGACAATCATATTCACCCACAAGTGATCGTCTATAAATAATTACTATAGTACCACATTTCTTGAGTAATGTTATCTGAATTATCTGCCAGAATATCAGGTGCAGATGAGTTTTTATTTAGAGTCTAAGCTGAATAAAATAGATACAATTGGCCCCCCATATTCATGAATTCTGTATCAATGGGTTCAATTATCCAGTTTGATTTTTTAAAATATCCAAACATCTTTGATTTTGCCATTTTATTTAAAGAACATCATTTTGCTATGCTGTTGTGTACATTTGTACTTCAATGGCAGTGGTTCTCAACCTGTGGGTCCCCGGGGGGTTTTGGCCTACAACTCCCAGAAATCCCAGCCAGTTTACCATCTGTTAGGATTTCTGGGAATTGAAGGCGAAAACCCTGGAACCAAACCTCAAGGAATATTAAGGGATTAGGTAGAGATATTTAGCCAGGTACGTCCAATTCCTCTTTTTCAAATGTAATAATTTCGGCAAACCTTTCCTCCACCCTTAATCCAATTTCTACCATAGTTATGCTTTTTGCTTCTGTTTCTAAAACCTTTGTTTCCTCTATCTGTGCCACTGAATCCATGGATAGAGAATCCATGGATACAGGGGGCCAACTATATATTTCTTTTTACATAGAGGCCATTGCTCTTTAGCTTGTACCCAATTTTGGTCCCCAGATGTTATTTAATCATAACGCCAATCACTTTTGATTACCTGCCATGTAGATTGCTGCAGCCCAACAACAACTGTAGCTCTGAGGTTGGAGAACGGTTAAAGGACATTTAAAAGCCAGACATTATATCAGCAAGCCTTGTATCTGAATTCAAACCCCACTCTCCTGGCCAAATGGAACAAACTGCAGCCTTCCAGATATGTTTGTATCACAACTTTTCCTGCATGGCAGGTGATTGGACTAGATGGCCCATGGGGCCTCTTCCGGCTCTGTGGGTCTATGGTTCTAAGATTCTAACTCCCATCAGCCCTAGATATGTCTAATTATGAGAAATACAAAAGTTGTAGTCCAGTGTCTGGGAGGCCACATAAAATGACATAGAGGGCCAGATTTGGCCCTCAGGCCTGGAGTTTGATATATGTGCTCTAGTGCTGCAGTCTTCAGCACTCCAGGCAGGACAATTGTTTTCCCCCTTCATATAAAATTAATAGCAATTTGTCCAATATATTGTAACCATGCTCCAATAGACAGCATTTTACACGTTGTCCTTTAACTGTAAAACTGAGATCCCAAGTACAGTATTAAGCTGACCATGCAACCACATTCATTGCTCTATTCCCGAGAATATACAATATCATCTCTTGCCAGCAGTTAGGAATTGTTGGAGCTAAAGTTCAAAACATCTGGATGAGCACAGTTTGAAAAACACTGCTTTAGAGGATTTGAATCTATTCTGGGGTGTTTTTTTTCACCCTTGAGAGCATAAATGCATTAAAGGTGGTTCTGTTTACAATGTTTTGCATTACCTCGATCCTCACCCCATGCATTCAGATATGTGTATGCCTGCCATAAAGACATATTCCTTGGGCAACTTATTAAGGGAAGTAGCTGATATTTAAATGCTGATAGATGGAAGGACACGCAGGGCCCTTCTGCCCAGCCCTATATCTCAGAATATCAAGGCAGGAAATCCCACAATATCTACGGTATATTCTGGCATATAAGACTACTTTTAAACCCAAGAAAATCTTCTCAAAAGTCAGGGGTCATCTTATACGCGGGTGTAGTCTTATGCATGGGAGTGGTCTTAACTCTATATTTTAACTGGAAAAGTTGGGGGTCGTCTTATACACCCAGTCGTCTTATATGCCGGAATATACGGTACTTTGAACTGGGTTATCTGAGTCCACACTCAGATAATGTGGGATTTCCTGCACAGCCCTATATTCTGGGATATAGGGCTGTGCAGAAGGGCCCTGCGTGTCCTTCCATCTATCAGCATTTAAATATCAGCTACTTCCCTTAATAAGTTGCCCAATGAAGACATGTGTCTGTCTTTATGGCAGGCATACACATATCTGAATGCATGGGGTGGAGATTGAGTTTGCAAATAATGCAAAACATGGTACACAGAACCCCCTTTAACACATAGGATAACTGCATGGCTAATAATGTTGCTCTCACTTCCACTGACTAAGGATGCGTGTGGCCAGGAAAATGTGAAGCTGTTTTGTTTCGCCTGTGGAGACAACACCCACACATACAACCCCATTCAACTGTTTACTGAGAGAAGTCCAACCCTAGCTGTTGCCACACTGAAGAGTTATAGTAAATTGACACCACTACGTAGGGAATGTTGCAATTTATAGTTTGGTGAGGTATTTCACCTTCGCTGTGGTGCCACAATAAACTACAAATTCCAGGATTTTAGACAGCATTGAGACACACAAGTTAAAATAGATGCTGAAACTCATTAATTCCACAGTGTGCTAAAGGGCTGAGGCCTCTTCCACACAGCTGAATAAAATCCCAAATTATCTGCTTTGAACTGGAATATATGGCAGGGTGGACTCAGACACCCAGTTCAAAGCAGCTGTCATGGCATTTTCTGGCTTGATATTCTGTGTTATACGGCTGTGTGGAAGGGCCCTTCCAGAGAAGCCCTATATCTCAGGATCTGATCCCATGTTTTCTGTTTGCCCCAGATTATCTGGCAGTGAGGACTTACATAATCCTGTTTAAAGCAGAAAACTTGGGATCCGATACTGGGATATAGGGCCTGTTTGGAAGGACGCTTAGATCAGTGGTTCTCAACCTGTGGGTCCCCAGATGTTTTAGCCTTCAACTCCCAGAAATCCTAACAGCTTGTAAACTGGCTGGGATTTCTGGGAGTTGTAGGCCAAAACACCTGGGGACCCACAGGTTGAGAACCACTGATCTAAGCACCCTTCCAAACAGGCCCTATATCCCAGTATCGGATCCCAAGTTTTCTGCTTTAAACAGGATTATGTAAGTTTAGATGACCCAGGGCCCTTCCACACATCCCTATATACCAATATTGGGGCTGAAAACCCTACAACATCTGCTTGGACCTGGGTTATCTGAGTCCACACTGCCATATACTCCAGTTCAAAGCAGAAAATGTGGCGTTTAATTAAGCTGTGTGGAAGGGGCCCCAGGGGCCTTCCACACAGCAATATAATCCAGAAGAGTAAAGCAGAAAATCCCACAATATCTGCTTTGAACTTGGTTTTCTGAGGTCCCTTCTACACAGCTGAATAATATCCCACATTTTTTCTGCTTTGAACTGGAATATATGTCAGTGTAGACTTAGATATCCCAGTTCAAAGCAGATATTGTAGGGTTTTGTGCCTTGATATTCTGGGTTATAGGACTGTGTGGACTCGGGGCCCTGGGTCCACACTGCCACATATCCCAGTTCAAAGCAAATATTGTAGTATTTCCTGCCTTGGTATTCTGGGTTATAGGGCTGTGTGGACTCAGGGCCCTGGGTCCACACTGCCACATATCCCAGTTCAAAGCAGATAACGTGGGATTTTATTCAGCTGCGTGGAAGGGGCCTGAGCTCAAAGCAGATATTGTGGGCTTTCCTGCCTTGATGTTCTGGGTCCTATGGCTGAGCCCACACTGCCTGGAAAGAGGAACAGGGATTGAACAAGCCTGGAGAGAAGCTGGAAAGAGCAGGCTGAGAAAGAGCACCTCCAAAAGAAACGCGGACATCTGCACTGTAGGATTAAAGCGGGGCTGAGACCACTTGGGCTGCCAGGGCTCAAGGCGAGGGACTAATTGGAAGTTTGGGGAGGGAGCAGCTCTCTTGGCAAGGGAAGTTCTTCTTCCTTGGAGGAGCTGCTGCTGCGGGGGCGCGGGGTCTGTCCCGCCTCGCGCACTTGCCTGGCTCGGGCGCGCGCGCGGAGGCTTCTCCCCGGAGAGAGCAGCAGGCGGCACCTTCCTCCCGTCCCCGCACCCGACTTCTCCCCCCTTACCGCCAACGAGAAGCCCCGGAGTTCCCGTCAGGCGCCCCTTGGAAGCCAAGCCGGCGTGGAAGGAGTCTCCCCTGGCCGAGCAGCCCGCCTCCGCCCCCGCCTCCCCGGGCCTGCCAGCGGGGCGGCGCCGCCCTTGAGAAGGGCCTCCCCCTCCGCCTCCTCCTCTGCCCTGGGAGCAGGAAGGGGCGCATCCACACTGCAAGGGGGAGCACAGTCTGGCACAGCTTTCACTGCCATGGCTCAAAGCTACGGGACACTATCGCATTGGGCCCTTTCCTTAAGGTCTTTTAGCCTTCTGTACAGCACTCAGGATCAAGCCAAAGTGGGGGCAAGCTGCCTCAAAATGGATGCACCCCTTTGTTGATCCAGAGAGTGTAGGACAGTCTAGACTAGAGCAGGCCAGGGCAAACTTGGGCCATCCCTCCAGGTGTTTTGGACTTCAACTCCCACAATTCCTAACAGCCGATAGGCAGTTAGGAATTATGGGAGTTGAAGTCCAAAACACCGGGAGGGATGGCCCAAGTTTGCCCTGGCCTGCTCTAGAGGGAGGCCTTTGTGGAATCTTCATAATGTTTGTGTTTCAATTATTCTGTAATCCGCCCTCTGGTGGCTCAGCAGGTTAAACCGCTGAGCTGCTGAACTTGCTGACCAAAAGGTTGGCAGTTCAAATCCGGGAGCAGTGTGAGCTCCCGCTATTAGCCCCAGTTTCTGCCAACCTAGCAGTTTGAAAACATGCAAATGTGAGTAGATCAGTAGACACCGCTTCTACGAGAAGGGAATGGTGGGTGATAGTATGAGAGCTGGGTCCGGAAGGGACGAGCTTTACGCACATTCCGCAACGGTGGTTGTGAATAAGGAAAAGGGGAGAGAGGCACACTGAGGGCGGGAATATACTTCTATTTGGTGGAAGGATCGAAAGGAGGGAAGGGTTAGGATAACGTTTAGGGTAAAGTTTTGGGTTTGGAGTAGGGTAAGGGTTAGGATTAGGGATAGAATTAGGCTTAGGGTAAGGTTTAGGGTTTGGGTTAGGGTTAGGGGTTAGGGTAAAGCGTTTATCATTTAAAAATTCTTATATTTCTTTCTACATCTGTTCTGTTCTGCGTTGCGCAAACAGCGCTCCCGAAGGAGCGAAGCAAAAAGAACATAAGGCTCAGAGCTTCTGGACACAGCTTTCATACTGTTACATAATGGTGCCCCATGCAGTCACGTTGGCTACATGACCTTGGAGGTGTCTATAGACAACACTGGCTCTTCGGCTTAGAAATGGAGATGAGCACCAACCCCCAGAGTTGGACACTTAATGTCAAGGGGAAATCTTTACCTTTAGTAATAATAATAATAATAACAATAATCCATAGCATTGAGCCATGGCAGATAAAGTGAGGCCAAACCACGTTCTTTCAACAGTGTAGAAGCACCCAGAGAAAATAATAATAATAATAATAATAATAATAATAATAGTAATGGAAACCCTAACCCTTAACCCTAATCTTAACCCAAACCCTAATCCTAACGCAAATGGAACTCTGAAAAAGGAGACGGAGGGCCTGATTCTGGCAGTCCAAGAACAAGCCATTCGAACCAATGCCATCAAAGCCAGAATTGAAAAGTCGACAACAGATCCCAAGTGTAGACTCTGCAAGGAAGCAGATGAAACAATAAATCACATCCTCAGCTGCTGCAAGAAGATTGCGCAGACAGACTACAAGCAGAGGCATAACACTGTTGCTCAGATGATCCATTGGAACTTGTGCCACAAATTCCATCTGCCTGCAACAAAGAACTGGTGGGATCACAAGCCGGAAAGAGTTACAGAGAATGAAAATGCCAAACTCCTCTGGGACTTCCAGATTCAGACAGACAGAGTTTTGGAGCACAATACTCCTGACCTCACAATTGTGTTAAAAAACAAAGTATGGATCGTCGATGTCGCAATCCCAGATGACAGCAGGATTGCAGAGAAACAACTGGAAAAGCTGACACAATATGAGGATTTAAAGATTGAACTGCAAAGACTCTGGTACAAGCCAGTCAAGGTGGTCCCAGTGGTGATCGTCACACTAGGTGCAGTGCCTAAAGACTGGCCTGCACTTAAACACAATCGGTGCTGACAAAATTACCATCTGCCAGCTGCAGAAGGCCACCTTACTGGGATCAGCATGCATCATTCGCCGATACGTTACACAGTCCTAGACACTTGGGAAGTGTCCGACGTGTGATCCAATTCAACAGCCAGCAGAGGGTCTGCTGTGGACTCCTCTTGTTGTGTTTCAAATAATAATAATAATAATAATAATAATAATAATAATAAATATTATTAATACTCTTTTCTCTGGGTGTGTCTACACTGTTAAATGAATGTGGTTCAGCCTCATTTTATCTGCCATGGCTCAGTGTTATGGAATCCTGGGAGTTGCATTTTGGTAAAGCCCCAACATTCTCGTGCAAAGAAGGCTACGAACCTTGTAAAACTACGACTCCCATGATGATGATGATAATAATAATAACTTTATTTGTACCCAGCCCCATCTCTCCGAGAGGACTCAGAGTGGCTTACAGCACTCTGTGAATATAACCATGCAAACAATGTGAACAGTAATAAACATATTACCAATATTAAAAGTAAACAAATAATGAAGCAAAACGAATATAAACAGAACAAATTGACAATGGAAGACATTTCATAGCATTGAGCTGTGGCATTTAAAGTAGTGTTAGAGTGCATTAATTCTACAGTGTAGATCACTCAGGGAGCTATGTGTTTTAATATCTATTTTATCGAAATACATTTTAATATGTCTATATCGAATCTTTACAATGATTACACTGTGTAACAAAATCTGACAAGTTTTCTGTTCCTGATTTGAAAGTGTTGTTTCTTGTCTAACTGTGCAGTACTTCCTTTGAAAGTAGTGGTTATACGTCAAAAATATTTTTTGTGGCAGCCATTTTTAAGATTTCATATGCCATTTTAAAGCTTTTGCAGTTCAATAAACATTGTCCATGTTTTTGTGATAGAACCAATTTGCAAATGACATTTATATCCCAGGAACAAAAATTATATAGTGTTATGTGTTTTAACTGTGTTGTAACCCGCCTCGAGAGGCGAGCAAGAAATAGAATTATTATTATTAGGCTGAAGGCGAACTCAGGAGAGGAAAGGGAAACACTGGAGTTCTCCCACAGCCTAAAAGGATACTTGTGCATTCAACTCACTTTGTGCCAGGCCTGGCTTCTGGGATTTATGTAACGTTTTTGAAATGTGCAAACGTTAGAACCAGGAAAAGTGGTTTTCCTGCAGGGAAGTGGCCAGCTGGGGTTCCCAAGTGACTCTTGCACTGATATAAAACTCAATTGAATAAAAAAAAACTAAATTAAAACTAATTAAAAATGAAATTAAACTCCACAGGTTGAGTATCACTTAGCCAAAATTCCTGGGGCAAGAAGTGTTTCCAAGTTTTCGACTTCTGTCAGGTTTTGGAAAATTTGCATCTATATAACAAGAGATCTTGGAGATGGGATTTAAGTCTTAACATGACTTTCATTTATGATTCATAAAACTACATACAGAGCCTGAATATCATTTCTCCTCTTAGAAAAATATGGAAAACTCTTAAGTGTCCACATTAATATCCACGTTGCTAACACGGAGTGACTTCTCACAGTTCAAAAAGGAGCCTGTGTCAAAAGCCTGCCTTTTTTAATCCATATGCATTTCCCTTTCCTACTTTTACATAGGTACACACAGGAACACACTTTTAAAATTGTTTGGGGCCACTTTTAGCAAGTCTGTTTCTGTCTGGCACTCCAAAGATAAGAATATCATGAACCACTTGGAGTATTTACTTCATGTGAGGGTAGCTATGGGTTTATCAGTTCATAACATGTAGAGGCCAGATTACTACTATAGTTTGCAAAGCATTTATTTAAAGTAAAGTATTTGGCTCTATTTGTAAATAAATGTGCCACTGATGTTTCACTGTAGTCTGCAACACATTGAAGTTACAGTCATCTCTCCACATCCATTGGGATCAGGAACACAGGAGTCCATGTGAAATTGGAAAGCCATAAATAAAGTGATATATAGTTGCCTTCGGGCTAAGAGGGGTGGTATATAAGCTTAGTAAATAAATAAATAATAATAAATCTAGTAATCTCTTTGTACTCCAGCATGAGGAAGTTGGCCATAGGGTCACTCTGAAGGACTTAAGAGCAGTGATGCCCCCCCCCCCCGCCTCTTGACATTCAAAAAGTGAAGTCCTGTTTATGTGGAGGAAGCCTAAAAGGTCACAAACCAGTTTTTGCTAATGAAAACACTTCCCTCTTGATAAAGTTAAGTAATTAAATAGAACAACTATCACGTGGGCAGTAGTCATGTTTGAGGGACAAATGGTTTCAGCAATTTGCATCGGAGTCAGTATAACACAAGTGTCCAACTTCATTGTGTGTATTTGGTGAGAATACCCTGCCACCTGATGCTCATTTTCTTGCGGCTGATCACCTCTTTTTAATTTTCTTTTCATATAAAATATTGGCTTACCTATGAAAGTAATTAATGTGCTTTGGATTTTTTCACAGGTTTCTTGCTACATACATATGCAGAACAAAAATACATTTTTATATATTTTGTATATTTTGTAATATTAAAAGAACACTGAGAGGAATTGGGTGTTTGGAATGAAAGTGGCCTCACATTTCTGTTCTCATACACTCTCTACTTAGCCCTCTCCTCTCTATTAGCAGGCTTTCCTCCTCTCCAGTGCCACCAGCTGACTGCCGTGTACATCCTGATTTTAATTTTTTTAAATTTATATGTTGCAATATATATTTATATACAGGCAGTTCCAGACTTACAAACGCCTGACTTACAAATTACTTACAATCAATAACAGGGCTAAGACAACAGGAAGTGAAAGAAATTTACCCGAGGAAGGGAAATTCACTTGTGAAAGAATTATCAGCAGGGAAATGTGTCTCCACTGAAGCTTTCTCACCAATCTTTGTTTCCACAACAAATCATTTTTTTTCAAAATCCAGTTATCACAGGGTCAGAAAGTGAGGTGAAATCTCAACAGGGGCACAGACAGCAAAACAAACGTGACAAACATGTTCCCGTTGCTATCCA